TTGAAATAACATTTACTTTTTATTTAATTTCCTCTCTGACATGTATATATTACAGGATGGTTTGACTGCAACCTGGCAGGTTAGAGTGGCTGGGAGTCTGAATTTCAGCTGAAATGATTATGATTATGTGACCAGTGTTAGGAACATGTGATCTGGATCCTCAATAATAAAATTATAATTTAATTTTGTTATCTATAGACACTTTTGGAGCACTTATTATATCCCAGGTACCAATATATAAGCTCTGTATGTATATTAATTCATTAAATCTTAATAATAACCAGGAGAGTTAGATCTTTAATAAGATCCCCATTTTACAGATGAGAAAAGTGAGGCATGGAGAAGAGATTTGCCCGTAAGCACACAGCTGGCCAGTGGCGGAGCTAGGAGTTGAGCTAAGTGGGTGGGCTCCAGCAAGCATGCTCCTTCTGCCAAGCTGGGGCAGGCTCTCCCAGGGTGGTCTCCAGCAGCGGCATCACCTGGAGACACTAGATGTCACGTTCTCAGGCCACACCTCACACCTCCTGAATTGGAAACTCTAGGGAGGGGCGGACAGTCTGTCCTGACAAGCCCTCCAAGTAATTCTGATGCACACTGTCTTAGTCTGTCTGGGCTGCTGTAACAAACGTGCCATTGCCTGAATGGCTCACACAGATACTTGTTTCTTGCAGTTCTGGGACATCCCACATCAAGGTGCGGGCAGGTTCAGTGTCCGTCAAGGACCTGCCTCGTGGTTCACAGACAGCCGTGAGCCACGGCCCCGTGTCCTCACATGGCTGAGAAGAAGGAAGCAAAACCAAGCTCCTGTCACTTCTTATGAGACCCTTCATCCCATTCACGAGAGCTCTGCCCTCAAGACCTAATTGTCCCCAAAGGCTCCCCTCCTAATGCCATCCCATTAGGGATTAGGATTTCAACACTGAATCCTGGGGGAACACACACTCATCCAGTGTGTAACACACACTCAAGTGTGAGAAGCAATGCCTGGGTAGAGAAAGCGTTGTTCCCTGCCTAGTCCAGAGGCCAGCAGCGTAGCAGGACGGACACGTGTGCAAACCAGCCGTTGCCATCAGTCTCGTAGGCGCGCCGGGGAGGAACGCATCAGGTACTTGCTGGTGCAAAGGGCAAGGAGGGAAGAGGAAGCTTCTGCTCTTGGAGCAAGGAGAGATTTGCACTCCAGTTTCAAAGACAGAGGAAGGGCAGTCGGTTCCAAAACTGATAGAGTCTGTGGGTTTTGCTTATCTAGAGTCTGGACAAATAGTTGAAATGACTTCAAATGGTTCTGACCACGCCGGCAGGATCAGCACAGGCACTGGAGCTGCTGTCTGTCCTGCCCACCTTCTGCCTGGGCCTGTGCCTCTCACAGGCGGTGTTATTCTTGGAATTGATGGCTACAAAGTAGTCAGAAGAAATCTTTAAAAAATACCTAAAGTATGATGTATTCTTTTTTTTTTTTTTCCTTTAGTGATTTTAGAGAGAGAGGAAGTGAGAGGGAGAGAAAGATAGAAACATCGATGGCAGAGAATATCGATTGGCTGCCTCCCGCATGCCCTCCACCCCCGTGGGGATCGGGCCCACAACCTGGGCATGTGCCCTGACGGGGAATGGAACCGGCAACCTCTTGGTTCATGGGTTGATGCTCAACCACTGAGCTACACTGGTCAGACTTTAAAAAAAATTTTATTTTTAATATGTTGTAATTATTTTTTTAGAGAGAGGAAAGAAGAGAAAGATAGAAAACATTGATGTGAGAGAGAAACATCGATCAGCTGCCTCCTGCACGCCCCCTACTAGAGATCGAGCCTGCAACCCGGGCATGTCCCCTGACCAGGAATCGAACTGGGACCTCTCAGTCCATGGGACGATGCTCAGTCCACTGAGCTACACTGTCTGGGCTGATGTACTCTTTAAACAAAATATTTTTGTATTGATTTCTAGAGAGAGAGGAAGGAAAAGGGAGAGAGAAAGAGAAACATGGATGTGAGAGCAGAACATTGATCCACTGCCTACCAGGGATCGAGCCCACAATCCAGGCATGTGCCCAGACTGGGAATTGAATTGGCACCTTTCAGTGCCTGGGATGACACTCAACCAACTGAGCCACACTGGCCCGAGCTGATGTACTTTGTTTGCCTAGAAAAGTAATTTCGTCTTAGATATTAGAAAGGCTGACCTTCAATAATAGTACCCATTTCATTTACCTGTTAAATCCAAAGTAAGTCTACTAAAACTACCGTCTCTAGCTCTGGAGTAGAACAGCTCTGAGGACTACAAAGCACTATTACAGCTTGTGACCTAAATCACTTAACCCATTAGGTGAGTCAGCCCTTATTTTTCAGGGTACAGTATTTTAAAAATCTCCCCAATTGGCTTCCAGGCTAAACAAATTCTTTGCACTTTTCATTTTGCTGGAAACAGGGATTAGACATAAACAGCAAGGGCTGCCTACTCTTTGTAACATCTTTGGAGAGATGGCCCTGATATGCTCCACTGTTTTCAATCACTTAAAAGGCAATAACTCGATTACGCCATCCTCCGTACGAGAACCGCCATTGCTTTGGTTCACTCCCAGGCCTGACACAAGTAAATCATTTCGATAAAATCCCCTTTTTCCTCCCTCCTGGAGACAGGAATAAGTAATGATACCAGTGATCGACCAAGAACAAAATGAATATAATGTACTTCTTCTAGAAAAGCAAACTATTTCACAAGTGATGCATTGTGTTGTTTGGAAAGCGAGTTTGTGTGTGTGTGTTGTGTGTGTGTTGTGTGTGTCAGATTAAACTCTGCTTTTAAACTAAATGCTTGGATGGAGCAGTTCATGTGCCTAAGATGGGAAGAGGAACACATCTCGGCAACACACCATCCACAGTGGGCGCTGATGGTCGTCCCTCCATGACTGTGCAGAGAACATATTTTCTAGAGTGTCTGAAGTAAGTGCCTTCTTCATGTGAAAAGAACCACATGAGGTGTCAGCAGTACATATTAGCAGCATGGCATTTGGCTCAGATGAAAAGGACATCGGCTTGTATGTCCTGTTATTAAGGCTTGTTATCTTGTTAAGGGTCACTCAGCTCACTTGACCGTTTGCTTAATGACCCAGGTTACCCAGAGAGATGGTGACTCTTCAACACTGTGGATTAAGTCCTCGCATGGGGGACTCCAGCTGTGAAGGGTGTGGGGCTCCAACGTTTCCAGACTGTGGGCGCACAGAGATGGAAACACATGGCAGTTGGCAAATTGATCAATTAGGGTCCATGTCACGCCAAATGATCCTTTCCATTAACATATTTATTAATATATGAATTATTCAATTTAATATATTTACGGGTACCCTTTAGTGAATGATAAAATATTTTCATTTCAACAAGTCTAACTCAGAGGATTCAACAAGTCTGCTTAAGGGATTTCCAAAAATAGGTTACAGTCTTAAACAAATGATACGGACTCAAGAAAGCTTAACATTTTATCTTTTATGACAGATATGATTTTATAATAGAACTGCAAATCATGTTCTAGTCAAGTTCCCTGCTGACTTTAGCTTTCCCTCACTGAGAAACGTCCTCTTGTTTGGATTGCATTATTCTAAATTAGGATTATTCAGATGGGCAGAATTAAATTGGAGAAAATATAATCTAAGACAATAGAATGTTTTTTACCTGCTAGATATACTTTTATAGGTCATTCATATTTACTGAGGAGCTCCTAAGTGCCAGACACTGTTCTGGGCAATTCAAAAGCCTCATCTCATTGAATCCTCACAATTACAGTTCTTATCACTAAATAATTATGCTTTATTTTATTTTCTACAGTACTGTCGTCATCATCTATGATGCTCCACGTTTTTCTTATTGTCCCTCTGCCCCCCCTCATTAAGCATGGATTATTAAATTTTATTTACTGCTATCTCCACAGTTCCTCAAATTAGTACATAATAGGTACTCAATAAACATATCTTTTTTGAATAAATGAATGGCCCTGTGAGGCAGGTTTTTTTTAGACCAGTAGTTCTTTTCTCTTTTCATTGGTAGATTATTATTTCTCATGATGCTTTATCATCTGTAATTGATTTTCAATAAACAATGCATAGGACCAAAGTTCAAATGGTACAGGGAATACATGGTGAAAAGTACCACACACCCTTGCCATCCATTCCTTCACTTGCCTGCCCACTGGACCCACCTGGTAGCTTTCTTTGTCCTTCGTCAATTCGACATTATCTCCAGCCCACAGCTATTCTGGAGATGGATACTGTGTGACCTAATCTATTACCGATTTGCACTTTTTGGCAAAGAAATTAAACTAAACTCATGCTGGCTTTTTTTTCTCTTTGAAGTTAATGCACTCTTTAGTTTATAGACTATGTTGCAAGAGAAACACCATCTTCAGAGGCGATGGACCCATTTATATGGGGGCCTCAATTCATTAGTGGCTATATATGTATACAAAATCATAGCCTTTCTGTCATTTTCAGCCTTAAAGCAACAAGGACCCCAGTGTCCACTACCCAAACTATCCGCATTGTCGTGTACTCCATGGATTCACTAGTTTTGTTAGTTGAAACAGAGAGTCTCTTATGACTAATGCCGTTTTGAATGTTTTGCCAGCATTTAATCAGATGTCGAATCAGTGTGTTTCCTGTGACCTGAGTATTGGTTTTGTATTTGCTAGCTGATGACATCAGCGAGAAGCTTCTTCGCAGCTCCTCCTGGTAGCTTTTCATGTAATCAAACTCCGCACCCCTCTGAGCAGGGTCCGTAGCACCTTGTTCGCCGCTTGCTTTCGTGGGGATCCGGGATTGTCCTGCCCTGTCCAGTGTGTGTGCCTGGGTTTGCACGCCCGAGGTCCTGTTCCCGAGAAGTCTACGATGGCAGACATCGCCAGCGTCTGTTATCTGCCCAGAGTGGAGGTCTCTGGGCTGACCAGTACCTGAGCTGCGAGACCCCCCCCCCCCCCCGCACCCAGCGTCCCGCACACTCAGGACGTTGCTGTCTCACCAGGGAGAGCGTGGAGAGCCTGATCCAGAAGCATTCCTACGCCCGCTCGCCCATCCGCACCTACGGAGAGGAGGACGTGCTGGGGGACGAGGTGCAGACCCCGCAGCCCCGAGGTAAGGCGGCTGCGGCCGAGCCCCTGAAGGGTGAAGGCAGGTGCCACTGAGGCTGGACCTCAGGGGACACATGACCCCCAGAGCATTCCAGGAGCCTCTTCAGGAGGGACAGCTCTGGAGGCTGACTTTCACGTCCTTCATTATTTTGCCCGGGAGTCTTAGGAGATTATGCTGCCTGAACGTTTCCTCTGGTTTTGTTTTTCAGCAAAGGGACGTTGAGTCTCTGAGTCAGGGCTCAGGAGTTACTTGTCCATAACTGACCAAAGAGCTGTAGGACTTGGGGGCAGTCCCTTAATCTTCCTGACCCTCGGTTTTATCATATGAACATCTATTCTCCTTAGGTCAGGAATACCTTATTAGGACATTGACAACTGAAAATGCTCAAAAAAGAAGATCCCCAGTAAAGGGCATCACGGGGAGGCAGTGGCCCCAGTGGGGGGGGGGGGGACACCTCTGTCACAAAGGCCCAGGAGAAGCCATCTGCACCGGGGAGTCCAGAGAAAGGAGACCAGAGGGTCCCCAACCCTGAGCACAGGGGCGCCTGTATGGGCGGAGAGCCCTCTGTCACATTTTAATGTCCATCTTACAGAAAGAGCATAATTAGTCAAAACATAGGACACTGCTTATAACTTAACCCAAATAAACTACTAGTAATTATACGATGGGAAAAATTCAATGTCAACTCTCATTTAAACTTCTGGACAATACAATGTAAGAAAAAATTACTTTGTAACGTGTCAAATAGTTAATCAAGAATTCTGGAAACCGAAATAAAAAGAAAGAAAGAAAACACTCTGTGGGTTCTCACAATGGCTTTGGAAACCAAGTACCCTTGTGAGGCCCTATGACCAGCCTCTCTTCTGGGGGCGCCCAGAGGCCAGGACAGGCGTCAGCTCCTTGGGGCTCCTCCTTGGGGCTCCTTGGAAGGGGATCGGTGTTTCAGGCCCTCTCTGGGGGGTGCAGGCCACCAAGTTGTCCTTTTCTAGTTAGCAGATTCTCTCTTCCATGTATGGTGTGAATGATTTCTTATCTTGGAAGGTGACTTTGCCTTTGAGCTGACATGTTTATCTGTTTGAGTTGCAGATCAATGACACGTTTGTTTCTTAAAAGACTGTGATCCTTACAGATAAATGATACAGCCCTCGGGCTGCACACTGACATGGAGTTTCTAGTCTAACGCGTTGTTCCCCTTCAGGGTCAGCCTTTACGACGTCCGACAATTTGTCCCTCAGCTCCTGGGTGTCCTCTTCCTCCAGTTTCCCTGGCTTTCAGCACCCACAGTCCCTGACTGCTCTGGGCACCAGCACCGCGTCCATAGCAACGCCCATCCCCCACCCCATCCAGGGCTCTCTGCCGCCCTACAGCCGCCTCGGGATGCCTCTGACGCCCTCGGCCATCGCCAGCTCCATGCAGGGCAGTGGCCCGACGTTCCCCTCCTTCCACATGCCCCGGTACCACCACTACTTTCAGCAAGGGCCCTACGCTGCCATCCAGGGACTGCGCCATTCCTCCGCAGTGATGACGCCGTTCGTATGACTCTGCCAGGGCGGGAGAGTCCACGTCCAGAAGGTGCACGTGGGTTTGGGAACAGCGGACAGGGCTGGCTGGCTGGGGTGTGGGTTTGGGGGCAGGGGCTCTCCAGGGGACACGTGCTCTGTTCATGAGGAGAACTGGACTCACCAGGAAGCCCGCTGCGGAGGGAATGCACCACGGACAGGATTCATCCGGAGCTGTGGGTGGAGACTCTTGGGTTCGAGAAAGAATCAGTGCAAAGAGCTCAGCCAGCCTAAGTCCTGCAACGGATGGGATATCATTTTACCCAGAAAGTTTAATAATACGAGGCAGATGAATCTGAAAAGTGCATTATTCCTAGTGGTGAAAAAATGCTGTGTCAATGCAGTAATGTATAAAATCAACGCGTATAGGTTTTCTTTCTGCTTTCCACCGGTTAAAAGCATCTTCAGAGAGGCAATACTGTAGAACACACCAACCATAATGCATCGAAACTAACTCCCGTCCATTTCTCCCTGTAGAGAGTGAGAGCCCATAGGGAAGTATTGGTAGTGCTGTAGCTTGAGCATGGTGAGTTTTCCTTTGTGTTAGCCTGCGGGGAAGGAGCCGAGGTGATGCTGATGCATCCTGTTTGGGGGTGAACACTTGGTAATGACTTCACCAAGTCCTCTCTGTGATATTGAAGGGCCAGTACCTGACAGTCTTGTCTTCTTTCTTCCTGATTCTCTTTCTTGCAATCACTTGCCATTCAGGTGGGGAAAATCTCCTGTATACAGTTTGGAAGCGAGAGGCTCTCTGTGTTACATCACAAAACAGAGGGTTTCTTTTTTACTACTGATGTAGTCACTGAGGACACTCTCGAGCTGCTCCATGATGACATGGGAGACTTCTGTCACCTGCAGCTGCATAAAGAGACGGTAGCCCTATTCTGAAAGGTGCTTCTCTGCCACGGGTGCCAAAGGCCACTTCGTCTTTCCTTCAGCTTTGGGAGACCTTATGGACGTTAAGATGCCTGGGCCAGATTCTCACTGTTGGCGAATCTGCCCTGTGGTTGGATCCGCTGCTACAGCAGGTTGACGGGGTTGTGAATGACCGTTCTAAATGCCGGCATAGCCACCACCTAACCTGTGCCCACGAGGAGGAAGGTGTCCACATCTCTGATTTGTGCTTTTCTTGTTGTTACATTCAATGATTCCGTTACCATCTTTCTAGCCTATTATATGAAATTACATGTTACTCAATGACTCCCTGACTGAAACATTGCTTATAAGTAAATCTAAACATTTATCCACTTTATTTTCAGCTCTTGCTGTCTCTTTAATCCTTCCTCTCATGTTGTATAATGATTAATTATATTTTAGTTATACATATAATCTCTATATTATTTGGGGGCAGCATAGTATATCTAAACATGTATGGTCAGGATAGTACATTTGGTATTTTGCAACAATGCATAACCCTAGTAACAGAAATTTAATGAAGCTGATAGTGCTTCAACTTTAGATGTGATAATGCCGGTAGCTGCACTTAGTGGGGGTGGGGAACGTCTGGCCGGCGGGCTGCATGAGACCCGAGAAATCAATGCCAGCTCACATCACACGCCTCACCAAATTAGCCTGGCCAAATATAGCAGGCCAATGTTTAAGTTGATAATTTTGTATGGCCTGCAAATAATGTTATAAATATCCAAATGGCCCTTGGCAGAAAAAAGGTGCCCCACCCCTGATTCAAGAATATAACCAGTCTTCTCCACAGAGCTCCCAACTCCATTTTAATTTAATTTAAATTTTCTATATACTCTGTCTGACTGCAAAAGGATTGGATCTGTTCAGAGAGATGGGAATATTGCTGCTGAGAGAAGAGGTATATTTCAGAGTAAATGCAATATACTTATCACATCAGACTCCACGGGGACTTTATTGGGTTGTCTTAACGTTAGGCTTTTCCATATCAAATTCCTTTCTCGGGCATTCCCAGCTTATGACACCAGGCAACATGGCATAGCCTGTCTCAGTGATGCTGTGGTTGGACTTCTCATGCCGTTCTCAACTGTATCCCCGCGTTCGCATGTGGAGAAGTACGGGCTGTGTTAACCAAGCATCTCCAAGTCCTATGGCAGACACTGTGGGCTAACTTACAGCCTCTGGCGTGTTCACTCTAGTTTGCACAGGTAGTTTTCTTCAAACACAGCACAGATGTGCATTTCCTTTAAAAAGCATTCATGATTAATGTCTAAATATTCATAATATTCAAAAGCTTAGGATAGGGATTTAATATTTAATAGCTGGCCTGTTGCCATTGGCTCCTTGGAAGACAGAGTACAGCTGCTTAAAGCAGCAACAACAAAAGTAGGTGCTATTTGACATGATGCCACTCAATACCCTGGCAAATGACTGGTCTGTTCAAGTAAATCGTCCCTGACTTTTCTTTTCAATTAGAATGAAAGGATCACTTTAATACTGTTTCGATATTTTCCCCAATTGGTGTGTCTCAAAGTAGGGTGGGATGTTTTTGTTAAATATGGTTTGACACCAGTCTTTCCTGACTTTGTAACTTTATTTTGTAATTAAGCAATAAAACTCAGCATAAGTAGAGCGCTTAGAGAAACGACTAGGATGTCAAAGCATGCTATCGGAAGCCCACACCTGAAATTCTCCATTGGGTAGACTTTTAAGTCTGAGATTTCGTCTGCACACGCACAGTGGCTCTCAGAGGATTAGCCCCGAGAACCGGGGGTAGGAATGTCCCCCACCCAAGTCCTTTCGAGCAGTCTGGTTGTTGATTCCTACTTAAGTCCTTGAGATTTAAGATTTAAAACTGTTAAATCTATTTTACCAAAAGTAATTGCAAGAACGACCCAATTAGAAAGCAACGTGAGCGATAGAGAGCGGGCGTTACAGTGTGCGTGGGGTGAATTCGGGTTCCCCTCCACGCCGTCAGCGTCAGACGCTGGTCCGTGCAGCGGCTGGAGAGGCCGCAGGACTGCTGTGCTTAACCCGGGGAATCAGTTCACAACGGAGTAGGTCCTGTGTGTGTGCTTTGTTTTAAAAGAATTATCAAGAATTCTAAGCTCTATTATTTCTTCTTTTAAAAAATCCTTACCCGAGGATATTTTCCCCTTTATCTTCAGATAGAATGGGAGGGAAAGAGAGGGAGAGAAAGAAACATCGATGTGAGAGAGACACATGGACTGGTTGCCTCCCACATGACCCCAACCAGGGCCAGGGATGAACCACAACCTAGGTATGTGCTCTTGGCTGGAATCGAACCCATGACTCATTGGTCTGCGGGCCAACACTCTACTGCTGAGCCAAACCAGCCAGGGGAGCAAGTTTATCTTTATATCACTAAGGGTGGGCAGAGAGGTAATGTAATGTGCAGGGGTCACAGATTGTAAGAAAAACACTCTTTTTACTCAATCTTCCATTCACTAGGTAAGGAAAACCTGTTTTCACTATGAAACGTGTATGCACTTGATAATTATTGCGAGTAAAACGATATTATACCCTGAATCCAGACATCCTAGATAGAAATAAAGCCCTGAATGGAGAAAATTTCAGCTGGCTCCTTAGGAGAATCCCACTGGGGTGGACGATGACTTTTATACATTTCTGTATTATTTCAGAATGCAAGGATTCTGTGAAAAACAAGCAAAAGGAAGGTTACAAACTCTTAAAAATTTGGAAAATAAAAATCCTCACTACTGTTTATTCCACACTAGTTATAAAATATACCAATACTTTTCTTCAGCATGCTTACACATGCAAAAGGTTTATTGATAAATGTTTGATAGGCAGATATTCCCAAAGTATTTTCTGGTCCTTCTTTCTCTGTCCATGCCTTAAACAATCCCAATGGCCTCCCCCGATAATAAGAAAATTAAAACGTTTTGGCGAAATAATACATCTGGACAAAAAAATACGGTTTGTTGTATTTTACTTCTGGTATATTATAATACTGTATTTAGTTTTTTTTTTTTTTGTTTTTTTTTCTTAGTTTCAAAAACCTAAAAGAAGGTCTTTGATTTCCTAAAGGAAAAAAATATGTATTAGCCTTTTTAGTAGAGTCCACACCATTCTGTTGTTTGCTGTGTTCATTTGCTTAAGGAATTGTGTGAGAACAGTCACTGTAATGAAGTGTGTGTGCTGGGGCTGGGGGAAGGGCATGGGAAATGTTTTATGAAAAAAGAAGTTATAAGCCTAATACTATGAAGTAACATCTAACGAAGTTCTTTTTAAGTGCAATATATTTATTTCTGCTAGAAATGTATTATCAACATTATGTAATATTTGAAGCATTACATGTTATTTGTAAACAGCTTAAAATTATATATTACCCAAAGTTGTACAGAAGTACAAATGTGTGCATATTAATTTCTTTCATTAAAAGCGGTGTGTTTTTGATATATATACACACACATTTACACCTTTCATTGTCTGACACGATCTGCCGCGTGACTTCTGGTACCTGTTTCCTCACCGGAAAAAGCAGAGGAGGGTTAGGTAAGATCACAGGCCAAGCTGGCCACTCCCAGGCCGGACACAGACACTGGGTTACCGCACAGGGTTTGGTTTTGCCTTTGAAAACCCATAGAGAAGACATTGCTCTCAAGTCCTCGCTGGTTCCAAATGTCCTACACCTGGTCCCCTTCACTCATTTACTCTCCCCGATAGACCCTTAGAATTCGGGGACCTTGCACCTCTGTGTATGGAATGATATGAAGATGCCGCAAAGCTTAAAGAACCCTACCTCCCCTTCCAGGCGTGAGCTCTGCCATGTGATGTAATGACATTGCACAGCAGGCTGACACGAAATAAGATTAGCCGAATTCAGCCTTAATCCTTCTTCCACATGACAGTCCTTCAGAACAGCCGAGGCTATCATGCTCTGCCCTTGCAGAGGTCTGAGCTGTTGCCCTGCACTGTCTGTGCACGCCACACACCAGCCTTGTAGAAGTCTTTTCTCTCAAATGAGTCTAAGCTTACAGAAAAGTCGCAAGAATAGTATAAAGAAACCCTGTATATGAACTGTTAAC